AGCCACTCAGTACTCAGCTTGAGAATTACTTATATCAGAAATTTGAGCATGTAGCTGATGAATATCCACAGACAAGTGGCTATTATTCCACAACCTCCTAAAATGCTGTTGAATTAAGTTCCAGTCAAGTTCTGGGTTGCTGAAAGATATCACAAATCTACTTATAAAGTGAATAACCTTAGCTGGGAGTGTAAACTGGATACATGGAATCTTATTTCCCTTAAGCGATCTTCCTTTTTCTAAAGCATTTAGTCTGTTTTATAAACCTTTGTCTATTTACTCTTGGATCGTATGAGCAAGACTAATATCCCTGGACAGTTGATTTACATGGTGGGCAGGGCAAAAAAGGTAACAATTCCTATTAGTATATTTACAATTTTATAGGTGGTGCAAGGAGTTCTTGTAGCAAAGCGATTATGAATCGGGCTGCTATTCAATCTCAAGGTCAGCATTTTGAAACTACTGAGGGAGAAAGATGAGGCTCTCTGCTCCCATAAAGATTTACAGCCTCGGAAACTCTACACAGGGTTGCTATGAGTTGGAATTGACTCTACGGCACGTAACTACCACCACCATAGGTGGTGCAGACTCACGTGGAACTCAGCTTGAAACTCTATACAGGGTTGCTATGAATTGGAACCAACTCAATGGCAACAACATGACCCATGCATCGCTTTTGCTTAGGGTAAGTGATTTTAACAAGCTGCTTTAATCGATGGGTGATTTCTATCCCATCCAGAAACCCAGTGTTCCTCATTCTCTCCCTGATTGCCCTTTCCCTAAACCCCAAAGTCCAGCCCATTGCAACAGTGCCCCCACCATTCTGACATCAGCTGCATGAATAATTGCTTTTAGAAATGGCAGCCTGAAGCTGGTCTCTGAGGTGGAGGTTACAGATTTCCCAAATGTTCAACTTTTCCAACATGTCACACCTCTCCATAATCCTTGATAGCCATCACCACTCTTCCCGTCATCTGTCCCAGGGTTCTGCAACTCACTGAAATGTCTCACAGAACTCACAACTGTCAAAGGAAAGGGCTCACACAATTGGGGCTGGCAAGTCCTGATTGCACATTTATAGAGTTCTGGAGACTGCTCCTCACCCACCTAGTCTCAGGAGCTGAGGAACCTAAATAAGCCAGTCAGACTACAGACTGCTGGAACGGGGCATCACATCAGGTGAGAAGTTGCAAGTCCCATGAACTGGATGTCGGATGTGAAGTGCCAGACACAAGATCCAGAGCAAAAAGAGCGAACTTTGCCCAAGTGTTCCCGTATATTGAACTCAGACCATGTCCCTAAGAAAAACTATGGGTGGTGACTTGAGTTACACTCCTGAGTAACGTGGGGGCATCCTTAATCCTTGGTCCAGTCAGTTCTGACTCGGTGACCCTGTGTGAGTCTGAGGGTGGCTAGTGGATTTGAACTACCGACCTTGCAATTTCCAGTCCAGTACTTACCCCACAGCACCACATTAGGGCTCCTTAGTTCCGTCTTAGTGGTTGTTAAATGCTGCTGAGTTGGTTGCATCCCGTAGTAACCCTGTATATGGTTTCCAAGGAGCAGCTGGTGAGCTTGAACCACCACCACTGCAGTTCTAACCGACTTCGCGCATTAACCCCCAGCCCACCCCAGGACTCCACCTTAACCATTAGCTACTGTCATCAAGCCATTCTGCTTCATTAGAAGAGTTCCAAAGACATTCGACTATATGGATCATGATGAACTATAACATTGCGGAGAACAGGTATTCCAAAACACTTCATCATGGTGCTCAGGAGGAACCTGAACATATTATAGACCAAGAGGCAGTCATTGAGACTAGTTTTAAATCAGAAAAGGTGTATGCCAGGGTTGTAGTTTTCCATTGTATTTATTCAACCTGTAGAAGAAAATCATCCGAGAAGCTGGATTATATAAACAACGTAGTGAATCAGGATTGGAGGAAGACTCATGAACAACCTGCGATATATAGATGACATAACCTAGCTTGCTGGTCACAAACAGGACTTATTTATTGATGAAAACCAAAGTCTATAGCCTTCAGTATGGGGTTCACCTCAAAAGTCTTACAACTGGAGTAATATATAGAGAATCATGACACACAGAAAAGATTCAAGTCGCCAAAGACTTCCTTTTGATATTTTCATTAGCCTCATATGCATGTGAAAATTGGACAGTGAGTAAGAACTGCAGAAGAATCGATGTATTTGAATTATGGCTTTGGAAAATATTCTAAGTACCATGGATTGCCACAAGAACAAATAAATCAGTCTTGGAAATACAGAGAATGCTCCTCAGAAGCCAGAAAGGCAAAACTTTGTCTCAGACTTCGCACATATTATGAGGAGGGACCAGTCCCTGGAGTACATCATGCTTAGTAAAGTGGAGCATCAGAGAAAAAGAGGAAGACCCCCAATAAGATGAATTGACAGTGGCAGTTAGTAGCAGCGGGCTCAAATGTTACAATTGTGAGAATGGCTCAGGAAGACCTGAGACTTGATGCAACTGAATTACGGTGTTATTAAAAGTACCACAGACCACTAGAACAAACACATCTGTCCTGGAAGCACAGCCTGAATGCTTCTTAGAAGGGAAGATGGTGAGACTTCGTTTCATTCTTTTGTCAGGATGGGTCAGTTCCTGGAGAAACACATCATGCTTGGAAAAGTGAAGTCAGTGAAAAAGAAGACCCTCTATGAGACGGACTGATACAGTGACAATGGGTTCAAACGTGACAACTGTGAAGGTGGGCAGGACTGGACAGGGTTTCATTCTGTTGTGACCAAGGTTGCTCTAACTCCAAGTTAACTCAAAGGCACTTCACAGGATAGAGTAGAACCACCCCACAGGGTTTCCGAGGTTGAAGATCTTTAGGGGGAACAGATTTCTCTAGCTTTCTCTGATGACGAGTTCAAACCACCAAACTTTCAGTTATCAGTCAAGTGTTTAACCACTGAGCCAATCAAAGCATCTCATCTCCTCAAACAATGAAGCATGCAATTCAGTCTCATCAGGAAATAGAAGGGAAGCCATTTGTGCAGCCCTAGTTGTCTTCCACTTCCTGGCAAGTGGAGAGCTTACTTCCCCAAATAAAGGAATCACACAGGTGGGAAAGCACCCCATGCCAGGTCTCTGGATAGCCTTACACCGACACTGGCACCCACAGGAGCCTGCCTAGAGATAGCTGATGGAGCAGTAGGGACCGAAGAACAGACATCAGGCAGAAACAGCACCATTTTCTTGCTGATATAGCAGTTTTATTTCAGTTGTTATAGCAGACTGACTTTTTCAGATATCCATCTTGGGTCTCTGTGGCTCTCTGGGGGCTGGGCCCGGGTCTGATGTTTATATCATGAATAGCACCTTGTATGCAATAGATGCTCAACAAATATTTATTGCCTCTTTCCTAGTCATCTCCAATGTTTTCCAGGAAGTGAGGTGCACAGCAGGTGAAGGTTTGCAGGGAAGCAGCACAAGATTGGCCTGGGGGCATCCGTTTTTACAGCCCCCTGCCTCCCTCTCCTAGACTCAGAAACCTCTCAAGGAGGAGGGTTTATCTGGAAGGGTGTTTAGCTAATAGCATATGTACTTCAGTAGGTTCACCATTTACAAACCACAGCCATCTAAGGCAATTTAGGTGGGTTTTCATGTGTGGCAGTGACATTAAGCTGTCACTTTAAAGTGGAAATTACCAATTTAAAAGAAAGAAAAAAATAAACCCCTAACCACTGGGGTGGTGGAAGGTGAAGATAAAATCAGAAAGTCTTCAGCACCCCTAGGCAAAGCTAGGTCATTTGGGCAATTGCTGCAGATGTGTGCCACAGAGCAGAGGTGCGACACCCAAGCCAAAGCAGATTCTTAAAATTTAAAAAAAGAAAGAGAGAAAAGAAATTCTTTGTATAGCAAGTAGTCCCATTGTGGAGCTGCTCCCAAATGGGGAAAAAGAAGAAGAAAAAAAAAAAGGGTGGGAGGTGCTGCATTCAGCCAGTGGCTACAGTCACCAAGATCCACCACACAACCTTTATTAGTCCAGCTGCCCTGGGGAGGTGTGGAGCTCCTGGGGAATGCAGGCGGGCCTATAGCCACCACCCTTCCTGCGGACCAGGCCACCAGCCACAGCCGGGCCAGGTTAGTGGAGACGTGCACTCTCCAGAGGAAAGGGCAGGGACACCAAAGTTCAGTTTACAGCATAGTCCAGTCACACACACCCCCACCCCAGTACTGCTTACAAGCCAAAGAGCAAGCAATCCATGATATGAAATTCCTTCAGGAGGAAGAGGATCATTCCTTGGGATTGGCATCAGTCTGTTCCACTTGGCTTTCTCCAGTATGTTGGTCAGGAATGGGGTCGGTTCCAGGGTTTTCTGCCTCTGTGGCTCCTGTTGCTGAGGCTTCCACCGCTCCACTGGGGTTTTCCTCCTCAGCTGCTCCACAGGCTGTCCCATCGGCTGCCGGCTGTTCAGGGAGGGGCCCTCCACTGGCCTCAGCTGTGTCCATGAGGCCTTCCACTGCAGCTGGTCCCTCACTGCTCTCTGGAGCTGCTCCGTCCCCATCCACAGCCTTCACAGCTGCTGTGATGACCTCGGCTAAGACTTCTGCAGCCACCTCCTCAGGCGTCTCCTTCTTATCATCACCACCTAGACTGTCCTCCCCTTCAGCTTCTGGATCAACAGCTTCATTGGTGAAAGGGTCCTCGCCCTGACCAAAAAAGAGGGAACAGGTCACTGTGGGTGAAAGCAGTGCCATGGGCCAGACCACTGGGGTCCGTGTCTCTAGGCAGGGCAGAACTGACAGCCAAACAGGTCTTTTAAGTGACTCTAATCACATCAACCCTACAGGCCCCCAGAGCTTGCAGACCAGAGAAGACACTTCGCTTGCAAAAGCTTTCTCAGAACAAATCTGTACTTTTTATTCACACACATTACCTTGAGGAACAGTGTGATCTAGGATTTCTTAATCTGACTTTGTTGTTAAGTGCCGTGGAGTTGCTGACTCATAGTGACCCTGTATAGGGTTTCAGGTGAGCTTGAACCACTGACCCTATGGTTCAAAGTGACCTTGCAGTCCAGTGCATTAACCAGCAGCACCATACCATGACATCCCATTAAATGGAATTCCTGGTGATTTTAGATTCCAGCCCACACAGAGTGAGGGAGGGCTGCCACGGGTTCACTTGCTGGAGGCCACAATGTTATATACGCGAGGCTTCAAACAAACTCTCACCAGCACATGCCAAAACTCTAGTTTAGAAAAAGTTAACCTTCATAACCACCAGATTACTTGCATTAAAATATGCTATTTACAAAGTATGTTTGCCTTCAGCATTGGGCTCTTTTAAAGGTTGATCTATGAGATCAAAGTGACAACAGCAAGTCAGAAGACCAGATGGGAACTTGAAGATGCAGCGAGTGTATGTGAATGGGGGAGGGTAAGAATGGATGCACAACTTGAAGAACGTCATGGACATAGAGAAAGCTGTGTATACTCTCAACAAAAATAAAAAATACAATAGAAAGGAGAAAGAGAAAAATAGGTGCTAATGTGGGGCTCTGGGATAGAGCTTAGCCTGCAGGCCTGCCAGTGAGCTTTCCTTGTCCCTTGGTTCCTGGGTCAGCATCTACCCTTCCCCCAACTGCACAGCGTTTCCTGTGGCGAGAGGAAGCTCACAGCTGAGTCATGTGGCACCATGGCCCAGGAGGTCCCTAGATGGGCTCACAGGACTTACAGAAGTCTGACACACTCCACTGTTAGCATGGCCCTATCCAGGTAGAGTTCACCTCACCCCATCACAAAAGCCATTCCTGAACCCTAGCCTCCCAAACACAAACCCTGAGGTATTTTTCCAGCATCTTCACGATGTGTCGGTTGTTCAAAACACTCTTGGCCACGTGGAGACTCGTTTTCTTGAACTGTTCAGCAGCCAACTGCAGAGAATCAAATGTAAGTTTTGAAAGTGGCACCGAAGGCAGGAGGCCCATTGGGCTGTGTTGTACCTCTCTGTCCTCAAGCCAGTGCTGTGCCTAAATGGCTAATGTCACCCTGGCCCACAGGACACATCTTCACTCCAGCAGCATCAGCTGTGGTGCTTAACCAATCAAAGCAACACATTTTCTGTGTTTAACAACAACTCAGGAATTAGGATTTCACTGGTTGTGAGCACCCTGATGGCCCCCAAAGTTTCTGGAAACCCCCCACCCTGCATGGGCGGCACTCACTCGGCGGTTGTGGTTGTGGTCCGGGGAATGAAGGTGTCGCTGTAGCAGTTGGTGCCGAGCAGGGATAAGCATGTCACAGGCCAGGCAGTGGGCAGCCTCAATCCGCTTGAAGAAGTGCTCCTGGCCTATGCCTGCAGGCAGACACACTTAGTGGCAAGCCTTCCCCCTTCTCACCAGCTAGGTGTCCTTCATCCCTCTGGCCCTCCCTACTGACTCAGACGGGTGCATGGGGTCAGAATAGCCCTTGTGCATCTTCCCTTCTATTTCCTCTGGCCAAGTGTTGAGCGGCCTGCCTTGTGTCCTGCCACTCAGCTCACCGCCCCCCTTTTCGGTGCTCCAGTCACTTGTACCTAAGCCCTGACAGGATGGTTTTCCCGCTCTACCTTTGAAAGGATCCGGCTTGGGTTTGCCATTCTCCTTTTCCATCATTTCCTGACGTCGCTTCTCTATCTTCTTGTTCCTGTTTACGATGTATTCCTGAAGGGAAGACGCCACGAAATACAAAGGTGACATGTTGGACTCCCAACTGCACACAACCCCACTTATTGACGGGGCACCCACACCTGCCTGTGGAGGAGGGGATCTGTACAACTGGATTGTTCTGCCTAAGTGTAGACCTCAGAGCTTCCTACCCCCCCACATGCCCAGGAGGCAGGCTTACCTGGAGGAACTCGACTGTCCGGTCCGGCAGCTTGGTGCTGATGAAGCGCAGAGTCTCCTTGTGAAATTTGCTCTGCAGGTGTTTCTGGATCTCCTCATCCTCAAAGCTGCGGAACTTGCACACAGAACAGGCAAACTGGATCCTGTGGAAGCCGAAGACTGCAGTGAGGCAGGGTCCACCAGCCACATACTCCAGCCAAGACCGAGGTGAATGCGGTCTCTAAACTAAGGCTGTGGCTACTCCCTCAGGACCAGAGGATAGAGTACACATCTCACAGGTGGCTGGGTCAGAAGAGCCACAAAAAACCTGGGTTTGAATCTCTTGGGTGAACAGTCGGAGTTCCAGGAGCCCAGGGTTGGGCCTGAAGCCTCCTCTATGACTTGCCCTCCACAGGTAGGCACCCCCTCACCTGTCAGCAGCTCGGTCCCGCATCCTGTCTCTTCTTCTCTGCTTCTCTCTTCGCTTTTTCAGCTCCTCATCCTCATCGTCCTTCTCGCCTGTAACAGATAAGTCAGTCCCTTCAAGACACCTGCAGAACCCAAAAAGCCGAGCACTGGGCTTGAGCAGGACCGCCAGTGGCCTTCACATGCCCTGTCAGCTCAGCGCTCCTAACACTGTGGGGCTGCAGAGGCTCCCAACGGGGCAGGCCTGGGAGAACCCTCAGGAGCTCCTGGGGGAGTCACCTCGCACCCCCTCAACTGGCAAGGGGACAGGATCCTGCCCGTCCCGCAGCCCTCTGCTGGCTCCCTGACCTGCCCAGTTCTGCTCTCAGCCCACCGTCACTTAGGAGGGAGTGATGCAGCCTCTCCTGACGAGGCGGCAGCATTGGCCGAGAGGAAAGCAAGCAGCTCGCTGCCTGCAGGTGGGCCTGGCAGCCGTCCTGCCGGCCTTGCTCTCAACTAGGGCCGCAGCAGGTCTGAGTCCGTGCTGGCCCGGCTCTACCCTCCGTGCACAGACACCACCAGTCCGGGCCTTGCCCAGGGCTGGAGGGAAGCATTCCTGGAAACGAGAGTGGGTAAAGACCGGTAGGTCCTCCCGTCCGTGCCCGGGGTGCCCAGGGGGCCTGGCCGGGGCCGGACACTGTGGAATGGACCAAGAAGCATCTGAACTGTGGCCCCTACCCCTGTGCCCGCTGCGAGCCTGTCCCGCGACGATGGCGACCGGCGTGCACTCTCGGGAGCCTCTCACAGGGCGTGGGGGCTTTTGGCAAGAGGCTGCTGCCTGAAACTAGGACTGCTGCTTAAGAGCAAGGTGGTCCCGTTGGCAGTAGGACCTGTGCGCAACAGACATGTCACCTTTGCTTTAGCGTTGGCTAGCGTGCACACTGCTAAGCGCCCTGCATGGCCCCGTTCCATGGGATTGGCCAAGGCAGTGAATGGGGCAGGGGGTGGGAAGGGGGATAGGGCAGAGGGGCCAACTAAGCCTGAGAACAAAAGTAGTCTTGAGCAGGGCCCCTGGGGGAGGACTCGGGGGAACAGAGACTAGCAGAAGCCAGAGGTGACTCTCAGGAGCCCAGGGAAACAGGAAGATAAACAAGAGGAGAAATAAGAGGGTGCTGGGTGTTTGAGCTAGAGAGTTTTGGGCTGCTTCTCCATGTGCCAGGTGAGTTGTGACCTGAGCCAGGCCTGGAGGTTCACTTTGGCCTCTCAGGTCTTCTACATTCATGACCACATCCAAGGACTTGGTTTTGGGCACAGCAGATGCCATGTTCCCAAGAATCCTTCCATTTCTGCCAGGTGTCCTGGACCCGGCTCCCCAAGTTGGCAGCCAGGAGTGCTGGGAGAAAACAGCAAAGGCCTACACTGGCTGAGTGGGATGGAGGGATAGGTGAGAGTGAGTCTTCTCTTCTCACATTCTGAAGAATACCTTCAAGGCACAGCAAGCTGCGGGAGACAGCACACACGGGCCCCTCTGGAGCAGTGAATGAGCCGGGCTGATGGACCAACTCCCACTGGGGCCGCTCCCAGACTGGAGCAGAGAGTCTTAGGACACAGCCCCACAGTCCTGTCCAGGCCAGGCCAGCTGGCAGCCACTGGGTAGTGGGTGTCAAAAGGGACCCAGAATGTAATGCCTACCTCTCTGCCTCCAGGACTCGCCAAAGTCATCCTCCTGGAAAAGGGCACATACAGTCAGGTAGTAGGGGGGCACCTTCCCCAACTCTCCATGGCCGCCCAGCTCCCTGCCACCCCCGGTCCATGCAAACGCAGGATGAGCCCTAGGGGACTGTGTCCTGTCACCACCACCAGAGACTATGGTGACCAGTGATTCTGTCTCAAGTTACCAAACCTCTCTCAAAAACCGAAACCTAAAGTAAGGTCCTGCCACTGCGCAGATACCCAGTCCTTTCCACCTTTCTGTAAAGGGCCTGGTAAGACTCCCTGTGGGAGGGGGTGATGGACAAGCAAGGGAGAATCAGGCGGATCCATGTGGAATCGGATCCGAGGTGGAGAGACACACACAAACTCAGCAATAAAGCAAACCCCAGCTGGTAGGGCATTAGCTCCAGAATTCTTTCTTGAAAGCTGGGCTGTACCAATTTTCCCTGACTGCTGTCTACGTTCATGGAGAGTCTCGAGAAACGGGGTCTAGAGAGAAGCAGTTCCCCGGACTCAACACCTAACAGCCCACACTCCCCCAGGCACTGGGGACCACCCAGACACTCCGGGTTACCTGTCTCCACTCTCCCATGCCCACCTGCCCTCAGTGGCCCCACCTGAGAATCACTCAAACACTTGTTTCCCATGAATGCCTCAGGGACTACACAGGTGGGCTATAACCAACTCCCAGGATGGAGTTGAGTCCACCACACCACCTGACCCTAGGCTAGCAAGGAAGGACGCTAACGTTAAGGACACTCTGCACTGGAGGCAGAGGGTGGATGAGTAGAGGCCGACTTACAGCCCGGAATTCTTCATCTCCCGACCGGAAGTCACCAGCTCCATCATCTGCCAGGCACACAAAGGACAGGAAGGCTCAGCCCCGCCAGTGGCCCATTCCCTGTACCACTTGGTCTGCTCACGCCTCCCCGAGCTCACTATCTGGAGGGATGGCACCCCTTTTGACTCCAGCAGGGTCCATGAGGAAACCCACCACATACAGCCCTTTAGCCCCCCCACCCTGCCACATACCATTGTCGGAAAAATCACCCTCGCTGTCTGCCCGGGGTTGCTTAGCATCTGGCTCCTCATAAGCCTGAGGCACACGCCGCTTCCTGCCGGGGCCATCAGGGCCACAGTGCTCAAACCCTCGCCACCGGGGCTACAACACAAACCCATATATCCACTTACCAACTACTAGAGCAGGGAACAGAGGGAGAGGCTGTTGGACCAGATGACAGAAGTAGGAAGTCTCTCCCAACAGAAAAGGAAGGCAAATTTATTAGAAACTTGGGCACAGCATTTCCTTCAGAAGCCATGGGAACACTTATAATTAAATTACGGTAATGGCTACACATTTCTAGAAATTTACAGAAAGTCACGGATGTGCACGCTAAAACCACTGAATAGCAAATTTATCTCAATAAAAACTGAAAACCCAAGCGAGCTGTTGTCAGGTGGATTCCAACTCACAGCAACCCCAGGTGTTGCAGAGCAAAACTGCTCCCCAGGGCTTTCAAGGCTGAGACACCACTGGGCTGGGTTTGAATTGCCAGCTTTTCAGTTAGTTGTCAAGTGCTTCACTGTCTGCACATTTCCTTCAACAGAGAGTGCTTACCCGGTCCCTGATCCGGGCCTGGGCTCGGCCACAGCCATATGGCATGGTACTGTTGAAGCCACCTGCCCCCGGCATGCCCATCATGCTGAAGTCGGGGGTCAGAGGCTGGGAGAAGAGGGGCGGTGGCGGTGGAGGCGCTGGCCTGCTGGGGGTGGGGCCACTAAGGCCGCGGCCAGCCCCGTAGTTCATCTCGCCCCAGGGAGCAGACAGGGGCTCCGAGGAAGCTGGGGGCTGCGGCAGGAAGGGGTCACTGCGCATGAAGGTGCCAGGGTTGCCCCGATCCTGGAAACGTCCCTGGCCTTGGCCCCGGCCCCGCACATAGCCGTCAATGGTGCCTCGCTCCCGGCCAGGGTCCCGAGGGTCGCTATATTGGTTGCCGAAGCTGCCGTTGCGGTCTGTGCCCAGGTCATATTCATAGCCATAGCCAGAGTGGTAGGGGTTGTGGTCAGGCAGGCAGGCCCTGGAGTCGTAGGACTCGAAGGCCTGGAAGCGAAAGGAGCTGTGGGGTAAAGAGGACCACTGAGGGATTGCTCACACTGGGATCCTCACCTACCTCAAGACACCCAGGCCCTTGGAACAGCCTCTGCAAAGTGGACCCCCCACCTTCAAAACAGCAAACCCATCACCCATTTCTACTGGCACGCTCAGAAGACAGGCCCCTCCTTCAAGGTCACCAGCTAACTGTGGAGCATCAGGGCATTAGGAAGCTGGACTCAGAACTAAGTTGGTGCAGGTCGGACAGCAGCCAGGCCCCTAGTTCACCCCTCGGTGCGAAATAAGCCCCACTAACGGGCCCACTCAATTTTCCTACTGAAAGAGGGATGGGAGGAAGACAGGCACTACCTGGGGGAGCAGTCCCACCTCGGGGCCCCAGGAAAGGTGGGTCCCAATCACCTCTCTCGGTCCTGGGTGCCCTCCCCGCTGCCACCAGTCCCCCGGCTCCCTTCCTTGGACAGCATATCCAGGCGCTGGTTGATCTTGGCGATGAGGGAGTCTGAGTTGTCGGGGCCTGGGTCTGGACCTGGGCCATAGGAGGCCATGTGTATGGTGGGGCCAGCAGCCGCCAGGCTGCCATCGCTGGTCTTGGCGGCCTCCCACGAAGCTGGCCCATAGTTGTACGTTGCTCCAGCACTCACACTGGAGTTCTGGGACCCATAGTAGTTGTAGTTCTCATAACCTGGTCGGGGAGAAGACACTGCGTCAGGCAGCTAGCCATGGTAGACAGGTTCCCTGTGGTCTCAGCACGAGAGGGGGAGGGAGGAAGGACTCCAATAGCACTGGCAATATCTCTACACTAGACCTGGGGACTGTGGCCCTCTTCAAAGTCAGAGGTAGCCAAATGCCAAGACCCACCTCAGAGGTGCCGCTCCCATGACACACCACTAACCTCCAGTACTCCAGGCCCAGTCAAGGCCTGCCTTCTTCCAACAGAGTCACAGCAAACCTCCCTTAGGGCCGAACCGGCTAGCCTTCAGGAGAGCCATGAACCCAGCAAGGACAGGAGCATCTGCACATCTGCCCTCTGTTCCCCACCTCTCCAAGGACCTGACCAATGAGCCAAGGCCCAGGAGCCGCTACCCTGCAGGGGCTGATCAGGACTCACCCACCCGAGCAAACCCTCAGCAAGGGCCTACCTTGCCAACTGGCCACACCACTTCCATATGCACCTTGGAGAAAGCAGAGACACACATGAGTTTTGTCCTCAGAATGCAGGTGCCAACCCGAATACCTGAGCACTGAAGGAGCGTTAAAGGTGCTCCTTCCGTCACAGATGGCAGGCACCCCAGGGTCCTGTTAAGGATGCTCAGGCCCACTCATCATCTGTCTCCTACAGGGCACTTGGCTGGTACAGCTAACCCTCTTTCTTAAACAAGTCATTTCCTCTGTCAGAGCAAACAGAACCCCCGGTTCTTCTTTCTAAGATTACTACCTGGTACAGAGTGGCCAGCAAAAAAAGAGCCAGTGTTCTGCCGATGGCATCAAGGGCGCCATCGACAGGAAGCCAGAGCCAAATGGGAATGGACCCCACAGGCATGAGCAATGGGCTGGTTCTCTCCTGGGACCAGGGATGGGCAGAGAAGGCACTACCAGGATTCTTGGGTAGGTCCCCGGGCCCAGAAATCAGAGGAACAGTGAGATAGATGCTTACATCCCTTCACGGACTGTGACTACCAGAAAGGGAACTAACAATGGTTTCACATTTTTAAAATTGTTGGGGAAAAGATGCCAAATGGAAAATGTCTCATGACCTGAGACCCGCCATGGCAGACTGGGGGCGGGGGCGGGGGGAGGACAAGACTCACTGTTAGGGAACAAAGAGCTGCTGGAAGTGATGGGAAAGTTTAGAAGTGGGTAATGGTGAAGCTCACCAACATGCTGCAAAACTGTACATGTGAAAACTGGAAGAGGCAAACAGTCTATGATCCATCTGTTGTTAGGTGCCATCCATTCCAGCTCAAAATGGCCGTCTGGACATGCAACATCTTCACACACTTTGAACCCATCATTGCAACTACTACAACTCATCTCGAGGGTCTTCATTTTGTTGCTGACCCTTTACTTTTTGTTCAAGCTCGACGGCCTCCTCCTCCAGAGATTGATTCCTCTTGATAACATGCTCACAGAAAGGAGACACAGTCGCACTATCTTCGTTTCTCAGAAGCATTCTGGCTATGTTTATATTTCTTCCACGTCAGAGTCGTTCCTTTTAATGACAGTTCACGACACATTCAATTTTCTCCATCAACACTATAATTCAAACACATCAACTCTTCTTTGTTGTTGTAAAGTGCCTGTATTGGGTGCCACACTTTTCTTCGGTCTTTCTTATCCAATGTCCAACTTTCACATGCATACGAGGTGATAGAAGAGACCATGGCTGTTCACACATTAAAAGAGGTCTTTTCTTGCAGAGTTGATCAACACACACACTGACTACTTGACTATTGCTTCTATGGTCATTGATTATGGATGCAAGGAAAATGAAATTCTAGACAACTTAATTGTTTTCTCCTGGTGTGGCACTGGGTGTTAATGTGTTGAACTGCAAGGCCGGTGGCACAAGCTCACCAGCTGCTCCTTGGAAACCCTATACAGGGTGGCTATGAGTTGGAAACAACTCAACGACACTTTACATCACAATGTTGCATACTGGTTCAGTTGTGAGAACTTTTGTTTTATGTTAAGGTGCAATCTACCATATACATTTACCACAACTAAAAAATAAAACAAAACAAAATTGGGAACTGTCCAAAACAAAAAGTGACCCTAACTTTATGTACACTGCCAGCAGTAATTAAGAACAATGAACTAGCAGTGGCCCATCCATTTCAATGAGCACCTCACACTGACTGACACAAGATGCTAAAGATGCAATGTGCCAAGAGTGAAATATAAGTCTGTACGCCTGATCCCAGGCATTCTGCAAATCTAAGCATGCACTAAGTAAGTGTACCGATTCTAAATTGAGTCATGGTGTGACACTGCGAATGAATGTGCTAGATTGCAAAGTTGGTTTGAACTGCAAGGTCGGCGGTTCAAGTCACCAGCTGCTCCTTGGAAACCCTATGCAGTGTCGTTTTGGGTCGGAAAGGACTCGACAGCACTTAACAATAACATTGATTACAAAACTCAATTTGTAATTATATTGCTAGCTGTTTGTTTAAAATAAGAAAAACTGCCAAAAAAGAACTATTTCACAACACATAAACAGAAGACTTTGGATGGTAGAAATATTTAAAACACTGGGCTGTTGACAGAAAGGATAGAGGTTTGATGGCTCCTACAAGTGCCTCAAAAGAAAGTTCTGGCAATCCACTTCTGGAAAATCCTCCGGCACACATGAGTTAGAGTCAGCTTTTGGTCTGAAAGTATTATTGGCACAGAGGTCTATCCACTCATCTCTGAAATGCCTACACGGAGTACGTGTGTGGCACTGGACTGTGAAGTCAGTTTGAATCGCAAAGTTGGTGGTTCAAACCCACCAGCTGCTCCTCGGAAAGCCAATACAGGGTCACTGTGATTTGGAATTGACTTGACGGCACTTACCAACAACATGGCTCCATAGGATAAACAATGCACTGTGAACCACGAGGACCATGGGATAGATGAAGCTTTCTGCTCCCATGACAAAGCCTTGGAAACTCTACACAGGGTTGCTCTGAGTTAGAACAGATTTGATGGCACTTAACAACAGGTGCTTTTGTGCTAGAGTCCCTATGGCCTGCAGATGTTTACTACCTTGCTCTTTGCAAAAAGGTTTGCTAACTCTGATATAGTCTAAAAAAGGCACCCTAGTGGCCCAGTGGTTCAAGTGCAAGGCTCCTAACCCAACAGGCAGCAGTCTGAACCCATCAGTCTCTAAGCTGAGCACTGAGGCAGCCTGCTGCTAGAGACTAACAGCCGTGGAACCCTTCCGGAGGTTCTGTCCTGAACTGCTAAGAGCAGGGATCCACTGGCTGGCGGTAGGTTGTGTCTGGGGCCTCAGGTGTAGGTGGGAAGCCCCCGACCCACACGGCAGTTGCCCTGCAGGAGCACTTACCCTGGGTGTTGGCAGCTCCAGCACTCCACGCCCCATAGCCTGCGGAAGGAAGGCACTGTTAAGCTCAGGTCCAAGCTGCCATGCCTGGAGTAAGCGCTCTCCAAACTTCAGTAGCAGCTGGGTAGAAGACTGCAGAATGTAACTTCTTGCATACACTGAACCCCAAAAGCCATCAGTACACCCTAGCTGGCTGAGGTCAAAGCAGAAAAAAATGGGCAGGGGTGGCCTTCCAAGGCAATTTTGTCTCTGGTTGCTGAGAGACCTTGGACAAGGATTTCACTCCTTTAATCCAAACCCTGAGAGTGACAGAAGACAAGCTACCAGGTAGCCCATCCCCTGTACGGCTGGGGAGACTGCCCAGGCTGCTGGACACCTGAGAGGAAAGGCCAGAACTGGGAAACATTGCTTGTTACCTCCTAGGCCTCAATTCCACATGGTTTTTCAGATCCCGTTCTCATTCTGATCACCCCCACCCCACCCCACGTCCCAGGGCCTCACCCTGGGGCTCTTCTCTTTGTTGACGCCCCTCTGGTGGGAGGCTGGGGACTGAGTCCTCACTAGGGGTTCCCTGGAGTCTGACTGCAGCAGACTCCTGCCTTTCACGTGCTTCCCTTCCTAGGACCTACTGTGAGCAGCATCAGAGGGTAGCTGTCACTTGACCCAAGGTCACATTGCGGCCAGCATGTACATCCTCGAAGTCACCAAGCACGCTTCCAGTTTTGGGCCCAAAACTCTAAGGGGAGTTATCACAGCTGCCCCTAGCACCCGGCACGGCACACACCGCACTTCGCAGCTGCTGGCTGGGTGGGATGCCACTGTGAAGCCAGGGGAACAGAGAAACTGAAGTTCGGCAAAGTCCAAGAACCGGGACTGGGCCTGGAGAGCGCGGGAGGTGAGTAGCTTAGGGAGGGAGGCCACACAGGGCTCGGGTCCCACACCGGGGCTTACAAGGCCCCAACAAGCGGGAAGTGGAGAAATGCAGCTCCAGCTAATGGCGCGAGAAGCCCAGGGGCGGGCTCACATGCCAAAAGCACAGCGGAAAGGAAGCTACGAGCCTTAGGTACGGGCCTTGACCTTGCGACCCGAGCCAGGCACGGGTCCGTAAGCTCAGCCAGACCCTCTACGATCCCGCCACCCCCCGGTACACGTGCGAACGGGCCCTCCGCAAGCCCCGCCTCCGGCGCCATCTTGCGGCGTCCTCCGCCGCCAAGCCGCGCGGGGAGAACGGAAGGCCTGCCCGCCCCTGCCCGCCGGCCAATCCGAACCCAGCACCCGGGAGCGACGGCGGCGCGGCCCAATGAACGGCGCGCACCCCGCCACCTCCCCGTAAGCCAGGCCGCAGTACCGCACTCATCCAGGTGCGGGCCCACGGCCCCTTGCGCAGTGGGTACGGGGCCCAGGCCCGCCCTCCCTTCTTGCCCACCGTGCCGCCAGCACCCACCTCCGTAGCCCTGCTCCATGTCTTCACCTCGAAGTGCCGACAGCCTCCTTTTCTAGGCCGCTGCAGCGCTCATGCGCTCAACGCACCTCTCGCCACCCGCCACGGGACGACCGTAAAAATACGTCACTGCACTAGCGGACTACCATTGGCTTGCTTGCGCGGCGGGCCCGCCTCCCGCAGTCACTAGGCTGCCTTTGGATTGGTGTGGGAATACGTCAGCAGCATCTCGGAACCACAGCCGGGCCGCGGACCAGCCCGGTGCGCAGGCGCACACTTTCTTCCGCCCTTCTTTCCTTCATACTCCCGGCGCCCCAAGTCCGTCCTTTATCCCGCCCTACGTCAGCGCGCACACAAGGGACGGAAGCAGGCCTGAAGGAAAGCACTTTATTGGGCTTGGCCAGTGCCTGGCCCGCGAGGTCATGGGGCGCTCCCCCCGCCCTCCTCGTCGTCGTCGTCGTCGTCGTCGGCCTCCACATCAAGGCCAGGGATCCCGCGGATCTGGCGCTGCAGCGCCCCGCCCAGTAGTGGAACGGCCTCTTCCTCTTCCTCCGGGGGTGGCGGTGGAGGCGGCGTGATGGCCTCGGGCTCCGGGGGCACTGGTGGCTGGGGCGCCCCCTCGTCCAGGGCTCCCGCCTCGCCGTCCTCCGGCTCCTTCTCCTCGGGGCTGTCTGTAAAGGGGTTCTCGCCCTGCAGGAGGCGGCGGCAATGAAGGAGGGCAGAGGACCCGAGAGGGAGGGGTTGGGCAGGGAAAGGGCGGCAGCGGGCCGGTCCATTGGCAGGGCCCCAGGGCCTCACCTTCAAGTAGCGCTCCAGCTTTTTGCTTATGAGCTTGTTGTTGAGGATGCTGCGGGCCACCATGAGCGAGGACTTCTTGGACTGCTCCATCATGAGCTGTGAGCAGAACAGGTGGGCTGCAGGGTCTGCGGCTGGCCGGGCCCACAGCCCCCATCCCGCCTAATTACACAAGCATCGGGAAAGGGGCAAAACGGCCCAGAGCGCAGGATAACTCTCCAAAGGATGGAGCCACTCTCTGGTCTTATTTTACTTAAGATGCACCAGCATCTTTCTAAGCATGGCTAGCTTTGGGATTGATCAGTTACATCTGGTGGTGGTTGTGTGTCTGAAGTGGTTCCGAGTCATAGCGACCCTGTATAGGATTTCTGAGGCTGTAAGTCCTTATGGCAGCAGAAAGTCTCACCTTTCTCCTGCATAATGCCTGGTAGATTAAAACGGCTGACCTTGTGGTTAGCAGCCCAACTCATAATCCAATACACCACCAGAGGTCCTTAGAAATATACATACTGACACATATTTAAGCAAATCAAGTGTTGCAGACATTTGATTTGCTTACTGAAAAACCACAGTGATAAACCAACAGTAAGGAGGAGCTTGCGGCCTAATACATACAGACCTCTCTCTACCCCCAAGTTGCCTCTGACTCATGTGCAGAGCAGAATTCCACAGGGTATTTTGGAAGCAGACTGACAAGCTCTTCTGAGGCTCTCTGGGTAGGGTTGAGTATTTTTTTACATTTTGCATTCCATAGGAAAGATACAAAAGCAGAAACACAAATGTCAAACTGTATTAAAATGTATTTCCGTTTAACCTATAAGACTCCAAAGATTAATGATACACCCAGAAGGTTAGCATTCCTCTGTTGATCGGAAGGTCAACCATTTGCAAATTTTCTGAAAACACATATTTGTCAAGGAACACTGTGCCGCTGTGAAAATTGGAAAGGCCAATGTCTTTCAGCAACAATATAGTTAGATGAAACATTTACTTTCAATGATACATTAGAAACAACTATGTGTGTCCTGGGGTGTTTCTAAAGCCCAGAGATGAGCCCTCTGTCTGAAGGATTTACAGTAAAGTGCCAGGTGACTTTTTCAGCAGTGGGAGCATGAACAAATCTTCCTCTAATTGTTATAAAGGTAATGTGTATAAGAAGCCATTCCAGAGAGAAAATGCTCTTGTTGGGATGGGGAGAGCCCACCTCCACCCCACTGAGCCCTGAGCCACTCTGTTGACACGATAGATGGACATGTCATCTCCATTTGCTGTTTACACTCCACTCTCCCAACCTTCCTGTTTTCCGTTCTACATGTTCTTTATTACTGGGGGGTAGGGGTATGGGGGGGGGGAGGATGAGCAGACCTTGTGTAAACGCACTAGGAAACAGTTACAGAATCACAACCAGGGCACAGACAAGTTCCTTGTTTGCCAACTTTCCCTCACTGACCCACACAGTGTCCTCTTGCTCCTAGCATGGGCAGAAATACTAGAACACAGATTACCTGGTACACCCAGCTTCACTGCAGCACTTTTTGTAATAGTCAACAGAGGGAAAAACCATACTGTCCATTAACAGATGAAAAACCAAAATGTATATACATACAGTATGCTATTACTCAGCTATAAAAAGAACTGAAGTCCAATGCTGAGCGAAATTAGTCAAGGACAAACACCGAATGATCTCACTTATGACATAATCAAATACCAGGGCTAACTCCACCACTCTTGTCATACTGTGGTAGCTTGCGTGTTGCTGTCATGCTGAATACTATGCTATTAGTATTTTGAATCCAACAGGGTCACCCATAGTACACAGGTTCTAGTGGAACTTCTAAGAGGAAGGCGACACAGATCACTTCTGCAGGGTCAGTCACTGAATAACATGAATTGCAGTGGGACATTGTCTGATACAGCATCCAAAGATGGAAAGGCACTCAAAATACAACTGGGGAAGACCTGTCTTCTCAAAGTAGAGTTGACCTTAACGATTTGAAAGTTGTAAACCCTTTAGGAACTTCATTAATTAATAGGGCACAACTGAAAATAATTAGAAGCAGCTGCAAACATCCATTAACAATAAGAACATGAAATGCACGAAGTATGAATCTAGGAAAAATGGAAGTTGTCAAAAGCGAAATTGAGCACATGAAAATCAATATCCTTGGCACTAGGGAGCTGCAATGGACTAGTATTAGCCATTTAAAATCAATCATATGGTTTAATATGTTTGGAATGACAAACTGAAGAGGAATAGTGTCTCATTCACTGTCAAAAAGAACATTGCAACATCTATAAGTACAGTGCTATCTTGTGATTGGATGATATCCATAAGCCTACAATGAAGATCAGTTACTACCACTATTATTCAAATTTATGCACCAACCACTAAAGCCAGTGATGAAATTGAATAATTTTACCAACTTCATCAGCTTGAAATTGATCACACATGCAATCAAGAAGCATTGATAATTACTGGAATGCAAAAGCTGGAAATCACAGGATAGAATTTTTCAAAACCAATTGATTTACTCATGGCAAATTACCTTTTTTCAACAACATAAAGGGCGACTATACACGTGGACCTCGGCAGATAGGTGGTGCTGGTTATGTGTCATGGAGTCGGAACCGACTCACAGCAACCCTGCAGAGGGTTTCCGAGGCTGTAACTCTTTACGGGAGCAGAAAGCCTCTTCTCCCGTGGAACAGCTGGTAGTTTCGAACTGCTGACCTTAAGGTTCACAGTCCGATTTGTAACCAATACGCTACCAGAGCTCCTTTGGGCAGATTAATACAGAGGAATCAGAGTGACTACGTCTGTGGGACGAGATGATGGAAAAGCTCCACATCACCAGCCAAAACAAGGCCAGGGTTCAACTGTGGAACAGACCATCAATTGCTCATATGCAAGTTCAGGCTGAAGATGAGAAAATGAAAACAAGTTCTCAAGAGCCAAAATATGACTTTGAAATTGTCCCACCTGAATTAAGAGACCATCTCAAGAACTGATTTGGTATATTTGACGCTAATAACATAAGACCAGAAGAGTTATGGGATGACATCAAGAACATCATACAGGAAGAAAGCAAAAAGGTCATTACAAAGAGGGAAAAAAGAAAAGACAAAAATGAGTATCAGAAAAGACTCTGAAACCTGCTCTTAAGTGTAGAAAAGTTAAAAGGAAATGGAAGAAATTATGAAATAAAAGAGCTGAACAGAAAATTTCAAAGGGAAGCTTGACAAGACAGTATTATAATGAAATGTGCAAAAACCAAAAAGGAAAAACACACTCAGCACTTCCCCAGCAAAGAACAAGGCTCTGGGAATTGATGGAATACAAATAAAAAATTTTCAACAAACTGATGCAGTACTAGAGGTACTCAACTCATCTCTGCCAAGAAATTTGGGGGACAGCGACTTGATCAACAGATAAGAAGAGATGCATATTTGTACCCATTCCCAAGAAAGATAACCAAATGGAATGTAGATATTATCGAACAGTATCATTAATAACATGTACAATAAAGTTTTGGTTTAAAATAAACCATTTTAAAATGGTTGCAGCAGAACATCAACAGGGAGCTGCCAGAAATGCAAGCTGGATTCAGAAGAGGCTGTGGAATGAGAGAGATCATTGCTGACATCAGACGGATCCTGGCTGAAAGCAGAGAGTACCAGAAAGTTTACTCATGCTTTATTGACTATGCAAAGCCATTCAACTGTGTGGATCATAACAAACTATTGATAACACTGCAAAGACTGAGACTACTAGAACACTTAATTGTGTTCATAAGGAACCTATATATAGACCAAAAAGCAGTTGTTCAAACAGAGCAAGGAGGAGGTTTAAAATTATACTGAATGGTTTAAATTACGAAAGGTGTGTGCCAGGCTTGTATCCTTATGTGCCAGGCTTGTATCCTTTTACTATAATTATTCAATCTGTATGCTAAGCATATAATCCTAGAAGTTGGATTATATGAAGAATGAGACATCAGGATTGAAGGAAGATTCATGAACAGGAATATGCATCTGATACAACTTTGCTTGCTGGAAGCGAAAAGGACTTGAAGCACTTTAATGGGAAAGATCAAAGACCACAGCCTTCAATATGGATTGCACCTCAATGTAAAATAAAAACAAAAATCCTCACAATTGGACCAATAAAGAACACTGTATTAAACAGAGAAAACTCTGATCCATGGATTTCCTTTTGCTTGGATCCAAAATCAAAGCTCATGGAAGCAGCAGTCAAGAAATCAAATGACATATCCCATTAGGCAAATATCTACTGTAAAAAAAATCTCTTTAAAGTGTTTAAGAGTAAAGATATCATTTTGATGACTAAGGTGCCCCTCACCCAAGTCTTCGTATATTTCAATTGCCTCATATGCATATGAAAGTTGTACAATGAATAGGGAAGACCCTACAAGAATGGATATATTTGAATTGTAGTATTGGAGATGAATATTGAATGTACCATGGACTGTCAAAAGAACAAACAAATCTGTCTTGGCAGAAGTACTGCCAGAATGCTCCCTAGAAGCAAGTATGGCGAGACACTTGCCATCAAGTCTACCGTGACTCATGGTGACCCCATGTGTGCAGAGTAGAACGGCGCCATTAGATTTCCAGGCTGTAGCCTATCAGAAGCAGCTCACCAAGCCTGCTTTCCAAGGTACTGTGGTGGATTTGTACCATCAAACTTTCAGTTGGTAGTTGAGCATTTAATTCTTGAGCTTATGTAAATTTGCAAAAGGATATCAAAAATGGTTGCACAAGTTGAAGAATATAATCAGTCACTGAAATTATACATGTAAGAATTGTTGAATTGATGTAGGTTTTGTTATGTATATTTCTACAGTAAAAATGCAATAAAAAAATAAGTGAGCATTTGGTCTGAAAAGTCTCTAGAGGAACACAGGAAATGAGAAAACATTTAATCAAGAAAACCTGTAATAGCTTGATGAGAACAGTTAGAGTTGTGGTGTCTGAAACATGACCTACTCCCAGCTCAGGAATAGACACTTCAGTCCAGAGTGCAGCCAGAACTCCCCTTAGATCTTGCTTGGAGGGCTATGGTTTCTTTCTAGGAGGGG